TTGTTCCAGTTTTGAATTTTGGCCCACTGTGTATTTGAGTTTGACACCCCTGTTCCAGAGTTTGTGGTCTCAATCTGTAGTTTAAAGTCCTGTTTTGTGTGTGATGCTCTTTTTGTAAATTATAGTCTGCAGTAGACTCAAAAGAATGGATAAAGCGTGATATTCTTTAGGTCAGCCTACCTTGTAAATGGCAAGTTGCTACTGTATTGTCATATGTGGTTTTAAAACACCAACATGGCAACAGGCTGCTAAATAGTTTTCTCGTTTTTAGACCTTACATGTGAGTATTATGTCACAAAATTCAGACATACACTTACTGTGTGCCTAAATGCAAGGAATAAAGATGTTTGCACAGATCATCTGTTCCATATAATTACATTTTCCTTTTTTTTCATATGGTTTTAAAGCTCAAGCATGTGCACTTGTCCCAACACGTAGGTGCGCCTCTACATGGACTGTGAGGAATACCACCGGGTTGCCTTCATCAGGAGTGCTCAGCCTCTGACCTTCGAGTCCAGCTCAGGGATCTTTGTAGGGAACGCCGGGGGTACGGGCCTGCAGAGGTTTGTGGTAAGTGTCGATGTGTGCGTGTTTGTGTCCCTTCTAGCCACATGAGCGCTTCGGTACTTCCTACACTGACTTTTGTCAGCTCTGTACAACAGCTGCATTTCTGCTGTGTTTAATCCTCATCCCAAGCGTCAGTGGGTTTGGATCAATGACTTTGAAATGAATATTGAATCCACGGCTAGTTGCAGAAACAAATGTGGTGTTTGGACAGTTGCCGACTTTACATCTGAAGCATGAACACAATAGTCTTCGTTGGCAACTTTACGACTGCTACGGGAGGCGAGGAATGAATGACCAAGTGTACTCATGAGCACTTCTTTGTCCTACGAGAGCTCCTAAATGACAGGCTGCTTACTTACGTATGTGCACCAGGGCTAGTAGTCTCATTTTTGAATGATTTAAACTGAGTGCACCTGTGATTACGGCTGCCAATTCTTTCCCTATAAAGATGAGAAATCAAACAATAGTAAATATTAAAGGGTGGAGGCTAAAATCCCTCACGATAGTTAAAAATATCCCTGTGCATTTATAGCAAGTACGTGTTATCGAGAAGTGCTGAGAAATCAAATCCATGTGCAACGCTGGTTTGTGCAAGCAGTGCTCTTATAAAAGAAACCAGTAAATGCTTCAGCACTTTCATCCCCATTATCTATGATTTGTTGTTTTGTAATTTGGCTTGTTCATCACACTGCAACTGCAGATATGATGAAGAAAATAGTTTGTATTAGCGTGGGTCAGAAAATATCTGTTATGTCATCAAGATATCTATCTAAAACGTCTTCAGTGAACTGTCAGAATATTACATTTTAATAAGAAGAGACCTAAGTTCATTTTAGAAAACATGCCAACAGTACTTTTCCCGAATAAATCAACCCACGACCAGTGGCTGAACTAGAGAAGCACACGACCTGTGACTTTAAAAACAAAATATAATCCTCTTCTTTGCCACTTTTTAACCTTTTGTTCTCGTGAATTCTTTTTTTTATCCAAGTTCATGAGACGAACAGACTACAAGATGTTCCGTTTCCACAACAGTGGAAAGAAATCCTTATCACAAAGCAGCTTTTGGGTTTTTGTTTTTTTTTTGGGGGGGGGGCTCTCTGTCATTAAGATTTTATTTGTGAAACGTGAGGAGAGTTTCAAAGAAATATAATGAGCCGGGGAGGCAGAGTGTGTTTATTCAGGAATTTTTTTGGTCTCTGAGGGGAGTTATTTCACCGCTGAAACAATCTGTTAGGCTTCTCCTACCTATTGTGGTTTAAAACCAACGCTGACGTACGCACATAGATCACCAGGAGCTAGTTTCATTTTAGATGTAAAGCAACTCACTCTAGCATCATTTCAAATCTTCTATATCTTGGTCTGTGTTTAATTTATGAAAGTATGAAAGTTTCTAAAGTACATAAAGTGATGTATTTAATAGAGGAGGACTTATATTGGTGTTATAGTAGCTTTAAGGGCAATGCGGGGTTATAGACCATTAGAAATGTGAGGTTTCTTTCTCAATTTGTGTCATTTTAATTGAGACTAAATTACTGCTGTTTTATCCCATGAGTCATAGCTGCTGGCATCCTGCCAAAGCCTTGTGGAAACAAAATATTTTTGTAATATCCTGACTAAAAATGCCAGTGTAGCTGCATTACAACAACTTTTAGAAAGAGCAAAAAGTTCCTCTGCTTTCAGTGTTTCTTGTGCCACAATTCCATTGTACGTACAGTTTCTATTCTATTCTGTTCTATTATTTTACCCAACTTAAGGCCACATACTGTTAGAGGTGGGAATCAC